ATACAGGGATCAGGCTTTTCCTAAGCTATCCATGTGCATGATCAGAGCTTTCAGAGGTTGGGGCAAGCAGCCAGAGATCAGACTACACACATCAGTTTGTTCCTCAAGATGGGGATAACAGGTGTGCTTTGGTATCAACCAAAGCAGCTCCACTACCTTTTTACCTTCCTGAAGGAGCTGGATATGTCACCAGGGGGAGGGAATACATGGACCCTGGAAAAAGGCTATGGATTCACTTCATGGTGTGGCCACTTTTACTCCCTTGCTCTCTACTCCTCTAGTACGGAAGGCACGGATCAGCCGTGTGCTAGGTCATGGCAGACAGTCCCATCAGTGAGGATTTCAGAAGGCTGTACGTGAAGCTTATGGGGCCTCGATGGATAAAGTGAGGGAGCTAAGAGTCACAAAGTTGTATCATATTACCCATCACCATGACAACTAAGAACAAACCTGCCTCTTACTCTCTTCTTCAGATACAGCATTTCAAGGCTCCCTAGTGCCTACAGGACAAGCAAGATTTCCAGACATGCCCAGCCCTCTGCTCCTGGGTACAGTATACCAGTCTCTCTGTCTGGAGTGTGGGTGGGCTTGGTGGGCAAAGAAGCCACATAGCTCTGCTGGATCTACCATGGAGTTAGTGGATCAGAATGAAGCTGTGTGATGCCCTGTGGCCCTCTGATCCTGGTAGAATGAAGCAGGTTCACCACAGAGCATCCTTGTCAGTGCCTCCCTCCTGCCAGCAGCTCTCCAAACCTCACTCAAACCTACCGGTCCCAGGGAAGGGTTTGAAGCTCAGCAGGTGGAGCTCAGTGAGGCACTTGGGATCAGAGGTCAAAGCGATAACTCCATGACCTGCAAGTCTTCACAGCTCCCAGACCAACAGGGCCTGAGCTCTCTTCACTGCAATGTGGACAAGCCAGGGCCCCCTGTCTGCCCAGAACACCCTATAGGCGCATGCGAAATGCCAAAGTATCTGTTTGTTACCAAGCAGAAGCTGCACATTATCTCCTTGTCCTCCGCCAGGCTGTGACGGAGGCTGGGCTAGCCCTGGGCCTCTCAAGGGTCCACTGTGCTTTGTTAAAGACCCAGCAGCAGCAGCAGCAGCAGCAGCAGCATACTCTAAGTTGGTGGTTTCATTATTTGCTTCTTAAACTCAGCTTCCCTCGAGGTGAGAATGAGTTTGTTGGTTTGAATCTGTTAGGAATGGTCTGTACAGATTCAGGCTGATGCTGTGGGGGGGTGGGGAGTGGGGAGATGACTGGTTTCCACAGCAACCCAAGAGCCTTTTTAATTCTGCTCTGTAGCCTGGATGCTGCACACAGAGAGGCCAGGGCCACAGTCCCACCCCCTCTGGGGCCAAGCTGCGTCCCCCAGAGGCCAACATTTCCTGATCTTTTCCCATTTCAGTTTCTTGGTTTTCACAAAATGGCTGGGAAGCCCACAGCTATGAAGCCTCCAGTACTCAGAAGAGGTGGTGCATCTAGCCAGGACACAAGCAGCCATCCAAGGCCATCCCTATTCTAAGATGAAGTGTTTCTTGCAAGAACTTTGCCATGTCCTTGGTAACCTCAGCCCCACTGAAAGAGGGAAGATAGTCTCATTCCACTAACCAGGTGCATGACTCAGTCTCAGCCTCCTCATCGGACTGTTTCCTGCTCCCCCACTAACAGCTTGCGGATTCCTGAAGCCAGGCAATACAGAGAAAAGTCTGGCCTCCTGTGGCTCTGGGTTCTGGATGCTTGAGTTTCTTGTAACCACGGCAGAGCAGCCAACCTTTCTCCTTCTGATCATAGGGTGGGCTGTGACCCATCTAGAGTCAATCCCCAACCAGGCAGCACTCACAAGCCCACTGGAGTTTGACGAGAACTCCCAGCTGCCTGGAGTCAACATCCATGTTTACATCAATAAGGCAGGTCCAAAGGCTGCTGCAAAGGCCACAGCTTTGACTGAGATCCTAACACTTCAGAGGAGGCCAGAGCCACCAGCTCAGTCCATGAGATCAGCCAGATGATCTCACAGCCCCAAAAGCTGACCTCTCTAGAAGAGAGGGAGAGCCTGAGGGCAGCAGGGGAACTAGAACTGTCCATCTGCTGGAGAGGTCCAGGATTTGCTTTCAGCAGGCCATGCAGCCCTGGAGTCCTCTGTACCCTTGTTGTCCACTCATGCTCCTTTTGGAGAGGAAGTCTGTGGTAAGATTTGCAGCAGGAAGCAACTGAGCAGCTAGGTACTGCCCCGTGCCAGCTATGGTGGGAACCTAGGAAATGTGACCAAGTCCTGAGGACATGCTTCCTGGGATAACACCCCAGAGCCAACACAGCCACAGCTTGTCACATACAACCCATAAGAAGTATGTCCTTTCTCTCAGTTGTAAAAAGGTTGGGAAAAAATAAGGATAACACGTGAGAACTGTGTATTTTTCCAGTGTTGGCACCCAGCCAGCCCTTTCTGGACAGCTTGTCTCCACCAGCAGGGTGAGAAAGGCCTGTCCATGGAGCTTGAGAGAGGTGCTGTCTGGCCCTTTACGCAAGCAGCAGCCTGATGGGATGGTCCATGCTGTGTGTCCACAGGGGCTGCTATCCTGTCTCAGCCAAATCACATGGAGATATTACACAGAGGGGACTTTAGATGCTAACAATCACTTGCTGTTTACTAATGTGAGGAAGATGGCCCTGGATGACCAGATCCGACGACCTGCCTGGCAGTGGACAGGCCTGAAGACTACAGCTGAGGTCTTCGTGAGAGAAACCTCCAAGGACAACAGTTTCAGCGTGTGCTGGAGATTCCAGACAGTCATTTATATCCCTGTTGTTCTGTGTGGCCATCACAGATGCAGAAACTCTCATCCTCTGCTGGCATCTCTTCAAGCACTAGACTTGGGGAAACTTTGTAAGCAGAATGTGCCCTGAGCAAAGACCCACTCCAGTGGGGCAGAAACTGGCATTTCCCTACATGGAGGGGTTTTACTTGTCCTCATTAAAGGGCCCATGTTGCCTGCATCCTAGTGGCCTCGGACTGGGTGTTATTTCAGTTCCTTGAGCCAGCCTTGTCCTTTTCCTGTGCTTTCCTCTTTGACCAGTTTGTGGAATTAGCAGGTATTCTGAGATGACTGTGTCCATAGTGCCCAGAGGTTGGTTGGGCTGTGTCCCATAGCAACACTGAGTCTAGCCAGCCAGGAGTGCCAAGAGGAGCAGCTTAAAGGAGGGATCAGGCTTCATGACACCTTGTGCCATGCAGGCACTGACACTTGGGCTCATGGCAAACATCTCCCAGGCCAATGTGGAGGGCAGGTTCTTAACTGCAGGGTGATTTAGATTACTCCAAGTGTTGAGAGACAGGAGACCTGAGGCTTGAGCCACATTGCCAGGTTTCCTTAAACCCAATAGCCAAATATGCTTCCAGTAAGAGGCAAGTGTGGCCTGTCTAGCAAATAGGACAGGGTGGCCCCCAGAGCAGCAGCACAGGCTAAGTAGTAACCAGAAATATGCCTGACTATGCCATGCCTCAGTTTCCCCATCCCGTAGATCAGTGGCTCTCAACCTGTGGATTACAATCCCTTTGGGGACTGCATATCAGATATCCTGCATAACAGATATTTACATTACAATTCATAAAGTAGCAAAATTAGTTATGAAGTAGAAATGACTTAATTTTATGGTTGGGGTCACCACAACATGAGGAACTGTATAAAGGCTGTTGTAGCACTAGGAAGGTTGAGAACCACTGCCACAGAAAAACTATTCTGTGTTGATATAGAACATGGACCACCGTGCAGGTCATCATGGCACCTCTGTCTCCAGTGTGACCCCAGAGATCAGACCTGAAGTGATGCCCTCCTTGGGCAGCCCCAGCCCTAGGCCCTGGCACAGCTGCAGAGGAGTATGTGTGGCAGCTATGAGTGGGTAGAAACCACTAATCCAGTGCCAGGATTCGTGAAGCCACATCCTGAGCTTTGATTCTGGAAATTTCAGCTAGGGTCCAACCATAGTACAAGAACCAATTCTTGGTTCTGGCCACTCTAGGAAGAGGCTGGGGGACATCATTCAAGTTGTACATAGAATCACAAAATAGCCTGTGCTATCCTGCCTCTCCTGGGTCACTGGGCCACCTGTGGTGAATCTGGAGCCTTGAGCAAGAGACAGGTGTCAGGGTCTACTCTGGTACAGAGACACCACACCAACCCTGTACTGCCCCCTTTTATCTACCCACTTGATCATGACCGTCATCCAGGATCTATCAGGAAGGGACCTTGGCTGGCCTCCAGTCCCTGGAGGAACTGCTCTGAGAGTTCAGAACACATGGAGGTCCCTGTGACCTACAGGGTGTTGAGCAGGCAGAAGTTTGGGTTTCATCTCAATGTACCCACTCTGGGACAGAGGACAACTGACCACACCCCACCCACAGGGTTACCAATACCACAGGACTTATGAGACTGAGAATTACAATGTCCCTGCATCTAATTCCACCTTCATGATTCTTAACTATCTCTCCCCCCAGGAAATCTAGCTTCCAACCCTTTAAACTCTAGGGTAGCAGGGACCTGGGGACCCCCTGGAGTAGGCACTAGCTTTGAGGGCACTTGGAAGAGCCACATTGATGGGCAGGGCTGAATTGGATGGAGAGAAAAATGATACCCAAACAGGTTCTCCCAAACACAGTGCCATGCCAACATCTCTCAGGGGGATTAACCTTGTGAAAAATCTAGACCTGACCCTGGCCCTCCCCTCAGGCAGGCAGCCTGGCCCAGGCCAACCCACTGCAGTACTCTGGTCTCTGATACACTGCTCAGGCAGAGACTGGGAGAAGGAGCTCAACACTGGGATTAGGAAAGACACTATCTGCCCAGCCAGGCCCTGTCCACAGGCAGGACCAACCTTGCTGACTCATGCTCAGATAGACTTCATCTCAGTTTTGGCATATTTGGATTTGAGAAATATTTTAATACCAGGATTGTGGAGATTCTTCCAAAATCAATTTCCGTTTCCACCTTCCTGTTCCTGGAGCCCTCAACAGACAGGGATCTCTTTTTAAAATGAAATAACATCATCCTGTCCTCTTTTTGGGGGAAATGCTTTAATGTGAGTTGTCTAAATCTGTTGGAAGCAAGCAGCAAACCCTAGTCGGTTGTCTCTTTAAATCGACTCTGCAGTGTGACGGGCAGCGGGCCGCCGGGCTGGGAAGAACCATTCCCGCTCTGCCGCAGGGAGCCAGGGCACGGCGCTGCCGCGGTCCGCGCCTCCCCCAGTCCCCATGGTTACAGCTCCTGCTTCCCGGCCGGTCCTTCATTCCCCTGGCTGCTGCTGCAGAAATCAGGCGCGCAGGCGGCTGGCGTCCCCCAACCCAGAGCTGGAAACTGCCTGCAGAGAGCGCATTGAATGCCTGCTCTTCTCGGCTCTGACTCACTCCCTCCGGGTGCAGAGCTCGGTCCCCAGCGCAGTACTCTGGCCACAGCCAGTCGCCAGGCTGCAGCCCTGCAATCTGTTGATAACTCCACTCACACGCTCCAGTCGAATGCCTATCGTCACAGAAAGCTGTTCCCTAGCACGAGGGACATGCCACATCTCGCCTATGAGAAGCGTGAGACCTGTGCCTCTCCGGCTGCCTTTACCAAAATAGGTGAGAAGTTGGGTGGCTTCCTCCTGGTGTCTGAAAAGGGAAGGGGAGGGGTGGTGCTTCTGGCCAAGCTACTGGCCCCCTGCACAGTGTCCACTCATGAGGGCCATTTCTGGAGCAGAAATGCTGTGAGGGGTTCGACCACTCTTGCTGTTGGAAGGTGGATTCTGAATAACTTTGGCTAAGTGTGGGGCTTGGAGCCCTAGCAAGACCACATAGTTCTAATGCAGGCAAGAATGCCCATGTGGAAGACGCTAGCCCTCAAGGTCTGGCCACATCAGGCAACAGAAGCTTCTGCCTGCCAGGTCTGCCGGGGCATTGAGAGATTTATTCAGGTTTATTTGATTCTCTTGATTTAAATTGATAATGTTGGTCTGGCATGTACAGCTTGAAATAACCAAGTGGTATTCATTCTTATGTTGGGATGGTGAGCCGGGACTACTCAAGGGATGGTTTCTGGCTGCCAAGAGGCAGGTTTCTTCCCAAGTCCCAAAGCTCTGATTGTCACCACCTCTCTGGATGCCTCAGATGGAGCCTGAGCCAGGGACTCCAACAGGCTGGCCAGGTTGATAGGAGCCAGAAAGGGGCAAACTTGGAAAGGAACTGAGTGCTCCCTGAGTATATATTCCTGGGCACTGGCCTGTAATTGGCTAGGAAAGCCCTCCCTCAGACTCTGAACATGCACTGTCTTTGCAGGTGGGTCAGCCTGCAGCTCCTCAGCCATCCTGTCACAATCACTCTGAGGTGGCCTTCCCAGGACTTCCACCGTGACTGCAGTTTGGGACTTGACCTTCCAGATGGCCATGGAGGCTAGAGGGGAGAAGGGCGCAACATAGTGGTTGATGCCAGCAACCCCGCCGATGTTCTTGCCTCTCTTAACTCTGCAGGGCTCATGGTAAGTACACAGTCCCAGGGGCTAACAGCTCAGGTCACCCTGCATTCATGCTAGACCAAGTGCTACCACCTCTGTTAGGTGGAAGAAGCCATGGCAGGAAAGTAACTTATGGGGTGGTTAGGTAGTTAGCAACTGTCCAGCATGTGCTCATTCCTGGGGTGGGAGAGCTCTATGGGGCTGGTGCTGAGGGCAGCAGGGTCTAGCTGCCCTGGGTCTCTGGCTGCCTGCCAGGGTCTGTCTGCTCACTGGCTCACTTGGTGCTGTTCATACTAATTAGCTGCAGGCACACGGCAATGTCGAATCATTTAATCAACAGAGTGGCATCCATCCATGGGGCTCTTGTCCATGCCCTGGGAAACCTTGTCTAATCCTAGATGAGGTTCCCTCCCACTAGAACAGTGTCCAAGACATGGTGGGGCCCTTCCTGAAGCCTCCCACAAGCTTTTATTGTGGTTGCTGCCTATCGGTCTCCAGGAAGGTTGACAGCGGAGTAAATAATGCATTGTGTATGCTCCTAAGGGACAGCTGACAGGACAGCTCGGGCTGGGGTGCGTGCTAAGCATGCCAATGACCACTAGGACAACGTGTCCATAGCGCAGACATGAGCATGGATGCTTCAGTGCAGACCTGTGTGTCACCTGGTGAGGAACATTCTGTCTGAGTCACTGCCTCACTTGCTTCTTGCTTCATTCATAAATGCCCAAGAAGAGAAATCCCTGATGCCCAAAGCCTCACCACTTCAGCATTGTTGGCTGAGGCAAAGCTTGTGTCCATGCTCTCTCCTGACCTCAGCAAGGTTATCATTTCCAAGCACTGGCAGCTCTCAAAGGAGAGCAGCCTGAGCTCAAGGGTCCCTTGGCTTCTGATGCTCCCTCCTGCTGCCCGCAAGTGCCACACCCAACATGGCTGTCAGTCCTAGGTTGGAATGGTTTGTGGCTTTCATCCTCAATGTTTTGTGACTTTCAGGGGTTTTATTGCAATCCACTGATAGTTTTCAGGTGAGGGTATCTGACAGACACAGAAAGTGAACCATTTGAGATGCCACACTTTCTGTATGTCTAAAGGCTGTGTTGCAGGTGCCATGCAATTCACCTGTGACCCAGGGACAGAATGGTCAGTGGTCCTGAGATTGTGTGGCTTTAGCTGATACTCAAATGGCTACCTGAACCAAGCCTACTGGAACTTCTCCAACACATGTCCAGCAGTGAACCACCACCTGCCTGCTCCCAGGCTTAAGACACAACCACATACCCTGGTCTTCTGAGCCACATACCAGGGCTTAAACAGCACTGGGTTCACGAAGGACATTCAAGATGTCCTTGTCAGGGCATCTGTGTCACAGCAGATAGCAAACTCAGGAGCAAACCAGTTTGTTTCTACAATAGGTACTGCAGACACCCAGATATGGTTGATTTTGCCCTCCGTCACCTGTGATTCTCACCATTAACACCAAGAAAACAAACTGATACCTGTCAGTGACAGAGAGTTGTTCAACACCTGCCTTCTCTCTGCTGTTCCTTGAGAGCATCCAAATTTGGTGGACTGACTAAGGCACATTCCACGTGCATGGCTCTTGCTTTCTGGCAACTAGAGGTGAGGAACTAAACAGGATAGACTGATGTGACAGACATATTCTGTTGTGGTGTGGGATATGTGATATAGGACACTGTGGTACAGAACACACAATGTAGAATGGTATGAGTTGGGGTGTGGGGTATGAATTAGTGTGGCCCAGAATAAGTGGTATGGGATGCAGGCATAAGATGGTGTGGTCTGGAGTCTGTGGCATACAATGGTATGGAATGCATGGTAGAATATGTGGTGTGAGATATGCTTTGTAGATGTGTGGTGTAGGATGTATGGTGTAAGCTGGGCATTGGTGGCACACGCCTTTAATCCCAACACTTGGGGAGGGGAAGGGGCAGAGGCAGGCAGATCTCTGTGAGTTTAAGGCCAGTCTGGTCTACAAGATAGTACATGCTCCAAAACCACAGAGAAACCCTATCCAGAAAAAAAAAAAAAAAAAAAAAGGAATGGATGGAGTAGGCTGTGTGGCATAGAATGTGTGGTGTTAGATGTATGTCATAGATGTGTATCATAGAGTGTGTGAGGTTGGATGTGTGGTGTAGATATGTAGTATGGAATATGTAATGTAGGATGTATGGTATAGATATGTGGTGATATGGGATGTGTGGTGGGGATGTATAGTGTGGGGTATGGGTATAGAATGTGTGGTGTGGGTGTGTGATGTAGAGTGTTATGGAGTGTGATGTATGTTATAGAATGATATAATGTAAAATGTATATCATGGAATATGAGGTATAGACCAGTATTGTGTGAAATGTGTGGTGTGGGATGTGTGATGTGGAGCTGTAGGAGATGTGGTGTGGGATTTACAGTGCACATGTGTGGTGTGGGATGTGTGGTGTGGGAGTGTATTGTGTGGAGTTTGGCTTACAGAATGTGTGGTGGGGATGTGTGGTAGAGATATGTGGTGTTGAACAGTGTGATAGTGTATGTGGGGTAGAATGTGCAGGGTAGATGTGAGATATAGAATGTATGGTTGGGATGTATGGTGTTGACTCATCTAATATGGTATACATGGTGTAGAATGTGTGGTGTGGGATATATGGCATAGACCAGTGTGATACGAAATGTATGGTATGCCATATGGTACAGGATGTGTGTGATATAGACTAGTGTAATGTGCAAGGTGTGATGTGCAACATGTGGTATACAATGTGTGGTGTGGAATGTATGGTGGGGATGTTGCTGTGGGATCATGGTGCTGAATAGTGTATAATGGGATGTGTGGTGCAAAATGTGTGGTGGGAAGTAGAATGGTGTAGTGCGGGATGTATGGTATAGAATAGTACAGTATTAAATGGTGTGAAGTATGTGGTATGGGATGTGTGGTACAGACTGGTACAGTATAGAATTGTGGTGTAGAGCTGTATGGTATGAGATGTATGGTATAGAATGTTGTAGCATTACATGTATGGTGTGGGGTGTGGGGTAGGATGTATAGTGTGGAATTTATAGTGTGAGATGTGTGATATACAATGGTGTGGTTGTGTAAACTGAGAGTCATCCCCATCACCTCAAAATTCAGGAAGCTAGAACAATAAAACTGACATGCATCTGAGGCCAGCCTGGGCTACATAGCAAGCCTCTGTCTCAAGAACGAAAGAATGGTGTGGATTCGAGTGGTATTGCCTGAGATAGTATTCATTTGGATGGAGTGGAGAATGATGTGGAGTGGATGACAAGGAGTGAAATAGCAAGAAAGGTCAGTCTTGTGTGGTGGGGTATTGTGGAGTTACAGCATGTGGGATAACATAGGACAGAATGCTGTGGCACAGGGTACTGTATGTGGAATGACTAGTGAGTAATGGCATGGTGTGGACTTGCATAATGTTGATTTGTGTGGTATGGGATGAAACAGTGTGGTTTATGATGATGTTCATTGAAATAGTGTGATATAGGATGATCTGGAATAAAATAGCATAGAGCAGGGTGAGCTAGATTAAGGTGGCATTATGTAATGGGGTACTCAGGGTGGGATATAATGATTACTGTGATGGGAACATGTGGTACTGGATACTGGGATGTGGGATGGCATGGTATGGGGTAACATAGTGTGGAATGATTCCTGGCTCTCCAGAATTGTAGTATTTGAGTCTAGTTGATCAGGGGCTACTTCTGTCTGTTGGTTACAACAATGCTGTGGCTCCTGTCTGTTGGTTGTGACAATACATTGTTCAAAGTGCTTTTAATAGCAGTAGCAACCACAGAGGTTGGAGCTTTCACAGAGAACTCAGTTGGTCCTCACTCACTGTAGCCCAGAGGTTACCTCACTGCCATTGAATGGTCCTTAGCCACATTTGACAGGAACACAAGGCCAATACATGATATATTCACAACACCCTTTGTGTCTGCTACTTCCAAATTCAAAAAAGACAAGAGAGAGGACTAAAGACCAACAACAGCCTAAAAACCTAAGTTCAATCCCCAGAACCCACATTACAGTGAAAGGAGAGAACCAATTCTGCAAAGTCATCCTCTGGCCTCCACAAAGGATCCACGGCATGGGCATAGCCCACCCATATACACACAATGATAATGATCAATGAAATCAATAAATGCATAATAAGGCATGCCATGATTTAAAATGCCAAAGGCACGGGAAAGGTATTCAAGGGCAAGACCTCAAACCAGGCTCTGCAGCTCTATGGAACACAAACAAACTCAAGGCACTGCCTTCCTCCCCACAGTGCCAGGACCACAAAGGCTGACAAGGGTACTTTCAGATGCACAAGGACACTCTACCTGTGTGAGGTCAGCTCTGGGACCATGGGTGAGGGGACATCTGTAGCTCTAAGCTATGAAAAGTATATAACCCCAAATGTGATGGGTTCATTTCAAGCTAGCCAGGCTGGGGTGCTTAGGAGTCAGCAAATGGGCTGGCAAAAGATGGTTGTGTTTATGAGCAGTTTGGAACTTTTACTCACAGGGTATGGTGGGGTTTTGTTGTTTGCTTTTGCTTTTGGTTTTATTTGGTTTGGTTTGTTTCTTTGTTTGTTTCCATCTTTCTTTTTATTCATTCCAAGGTCTAAATGACTACAAACATCTTAGAGCTACCTTTCTGTCAGGTAGGGCTGTTGCCATCTATTCAACATTCCCCTTAAACTATCCACACTAAGAAAGCAACCATCAGCCTAGAAAGAAATCCCCATAATACTCTTCAAAATGTCTTTCTTCATGATTTCACCATCCCAGGAATTCCCCCTAAAAAAGAAAAGCACCACAAACTATATTCATGTAACACCCAATTGGTATTTTGAGCAATTGAGTGTCTTACCTTCTGCTTTTCCCATGGAAGGTTGATCGATCAAATAAGATCCAGTTATCACTGAAAAGACAGGCAAGGACATGCACCAGGCTCTAGCAAAACCAATCTGAGGTTGGCACAGAACCAGAAAAGAAAAGAGGAACCAAGA